AGTTGGACAAAACAGATAAAACACTTGTGTTAGAGTTAGTAGTCAGTCAGGTGTGACCCACAAACCACAATTTCTGTTGCTTGTTAAGAAGGGGCCAGCAAATGGTGGCCCTCTGCTGAGGGGTGGAAGGTGCCCTTGTGTGAGGACCAGGGACAGCTCTCCTAGCCAAGAGGTCCTGGAGCAATTCAGTCCCCCATGTAGGCCCCTCCAGTCACACCAGAGCCAGCAAGACTGTGTGGCACCCAAAGACCCTCATGGGTAGCAGGTAGCCTGTGTCCTTCAGGGGTTAGACAGACTCTGACCAGCATGGACTTGGCCATAAGCCTAGAAGAGAGAGGCAAGCCTTCCCCATGGCTTCTGGACACTGTCCACACCCCGGCACCGTGGCAAAGGTAGCCCCACTGCCAGTACCTCTCCTGTGGGTCTGTGCTTCCAGCAGCCTCCTGGGCAGCTGTGTGACTCCATAAGAGTATAGAGACGGGGAGGAAGTCAGGAGGGCACACTCCTGTCACCTCCTTCCTAAAATCCCAGCCTGTCTTTTGTATTCTTTTTTTTTCCTTTATTAAATCAAAACTGTGTACATTGATGCATGTATGGGGTACAGTGTACTGATCTGATATACAATGTGAAATGCTTACATTGAACTGATTTACACATCCATCACCTCGCTTACTTATTGGTTATGGTAAGACAATTATACTTTTTTCTTAATAGTTTTGAAATGTACTATTGCATGATACACATTAGGTCAGGTGCCATCAAACACACTCCTCCTTGACTCCCCCCCCACTTTTCTTCCTTCCCTCCTCCTTGACTTCCCCCCACACACACACTTTTCTTCCTTCTTACTTTCTGGACTATAGTTATATTTTACCATTCATATGAATATGTAGGTGATTATACATTGATTTCATAGTAGTATTGAGTCCATTGGGCCTTTTGTATTCTTCACGACAAACCTATTCACTCACCCACTTATCCAACTTGGTATCTTTCCCACTCTCCCTGGTGGACCAGCCTCCCCTTTGTTCTTTAGGCATCTTGGTTTGTTCCTGTCCACCTCCCATAGGCCCCGCGACGTAGGTGAAATAAGGACAAATTATGTAAGTTCCTATTATCTTCTCCTCAAACATTTTAAGTTCTAAACTAATGTGAGAGTGTTTGATTGCTTTAACTTATTCGTTCTTGGGGGAGTTTCTTTACATACCTACTGTGTCATTTTTCTGGTCCTCTGCTTTTCTTAAATTATAAAAGTAATTTGTGCCTGTCCAAAACCATGTAAAGTGAAAGACCAAATATGAGGTGCCACGCCGGAAGGCTTCCCGGTGGTACAGTCAGTCCTTCACA